TAAATGGAGTTAGAGCTAAGGAAGGAGCAGCACTAATGTTGAATTATTAGTTATGGCAGGAAAAAGAGGTAATATAACTATAAATTCAAGGATTATGTGGGGTACAATGAGGGATGGATATGAAAAGTGAGCCATACTAAGTATTTATGCACCTGGAGAAGAAAGGAGTGTAGAGGAAAGAGAGATTTTGGGAGATGTTAAGCAAGTGTTTAGGGAGTTCTGAACCAAATGAGAGAGTAATTGTGATGGGACCTAAATGCTAGTGGGAGAAACTGTTGTAGAGAGCATACTATAAATTTATTTTCAAGCAACTTTAATTAGTGCCAATTGTTCTCATTACTTTTGTCAATTGTTTGCACTAACACATACATCTTCACACTGAGACAAGATAGACAAGCAAGAAACTGTAAATTCTCTCGAATTCATAAGAAAAATATTCTAATGACTTGTTAGAAATATGCTACTCACCACTTTTTTAATACCTATGATATTCGTGTGAAAATCAATAAGACACCCTAGGCAGTGCAGCCACATGACTGTGAATATTTCTAATGTTTACAATACATTAACAAAATTAAGAATACTATGAACTTACTAAATGTGCCATGGATGTGAGAAGCCTTCCGATATCTGACTGAGCAACCAAATGAGGCTCAGCTTAATTTTTTTTTTTTTAACACATTGGCCATTTCCCACCGAGGCAGGGTGACCCAAAAGGAAAGAAAAAACTTTTATCATCATTCAACAATCTCACAATCACTCAAACATGTCTTTGCAAAGGTGCTCAGATACGACAGTTTAGATGTCCCTCCAAACTGTCAATATCCCAAACCTTAATACAGCCTCTCCTCACTTAACGATGAAGTTCCATTCCTAAGACCACGTTGTTAAACGAATTCATCGCTAAGTGAGGGGCATACTATAATGGTAGTGGGTTTGAGTCAATCATCTTTGATATTGTTTTAATGTCACCTTTGTACCATTTATAACATTTCTGGTATATTTTTAAATGTCTATACATTAGTGTATATACTGTATTGAAATGAACAGAGTAGAGGAAATCAGCTCTAATATACATTATTTAGGTATAAATACTGGTCAGAGCGCCCGTAGTAGTCCAAGGCATCAGTAAATGAGTATTTCGCTAAGTGAGGAGAGGCTGTATAATGTCTAATTAGAATAAAAAAAGTGCAGAGAATAGAAACATATATTATAAATGTGCTGAATTTCAAACACATAAAAGCAATTCGTGAATGGCAGAGAAACAAAAGAGACATGGCAAAGTCTTGAGTAGTGTAGACTATATTGTAATTTATGACAAAAAATGCTGTTGACCAACCAAACTAGTACCTCATGGACACTAATATTAATCAAAGTAGTAGTTTTTGTTCTTTTCCTATATTAAATTACTTGTAACTCTCATGGATAAGAATTTTTTTTTTTTTTTTTTTTTTGCATTTTATTGTTCGAAGTGTTTCTCATTTCACTGTATCTTTCTGAGTATTCAGCTCATGCAAGTTCACATATTACAAAGGAAAGTGCCCATCACCACAGAGAGGAAGAGTCAAGAAAGGAGAACTGGGAGAAGAATTTATTGGATAAAAACACTATACAATGATAAAAATAATTATAGTTTAAGTACTACTGGCTAGCCAATTCAACATTTCTCTGGTATTCATAGTAGCTTAACATGCGCATCTGTATTTACAGAAACATGCATGTGCAAAAATTAAGTACTGTGCATAAAATAAAATATATACAGTATAATTTTTAACTCTAAACTGTGCCCAGAAATGTATAACACGTGCATTCTAAAGAGCCACATACTAAGCCAGTGATCACAAAACAAGAAATATATGAAAGCAGTGAACCACTGTTAAATTTCCTTCTGCCAAATCAAGACTTCTGCCCAATTTAATTTTTTTAATTGCCATTACCAATATTGCCATGCTTTTGGAAATGTTGTATGTTTAAATGGGTGAAACACATTACAGTTAACCCTTGATTTAACAGACACTGATTTAATGAATTTTGAAAATACAAGACAAAATCTGCTGATTTAACTGATTCAGAAACAATGGACGAAGTTCACTTGTTATAAAATTGTCTATTAGCATTATGAACACACAGAAACAATCTCGCCTTTATCCATCACAACTGCCATTACCGGCCACCTGCATGGCCCTATTAGTCAACTTAGTCCATGATTTACTGTATTAAGTATTTTGTGTTTAGTTATTACCTAAATTAAAGTACAAAGAACAGGTTTTCTGTGAGTACAGTAGTCCTGGGGATAATTTTCCCCATGGTCCAGTTTCTGATAAGACCTCTTATAATTCATTTAAAATTCCATGTAAAAAAGTGTCTTGAAAGTGGTCAGCTCATAAAAAAAAAAAAAAAAATGGGGCATTAGAAATTTGCAACAATCAATTTCTCCTTATATCATTTAATTTAGAATTAGGGTTATCACTGAAAATCATCTTATAAAAACTGAAACACACACACACACACACACACACACACACACACACACACACACAGACTGTATTTTGAATTTTACAAATTCTAGAAAAAAAATTTCAAATGAGAAATTAAAGTATCTAAAAATATCTCAATTTTTCTGAACAAGAGCAAAAATACTGAAAATGAATTTGGAGAGACTATCCCACTTGAATTCTTTTCAAAACAGAACAGTGTGTTTTAAAAAAAAAATGATTGATAATCTCTGAAACCTCAGAATTTACTGAACAAGAGCTAAATTGGAATACTAAAATTCTTGCTGATCAAAAAAGTTTTTCTGAAGAAAGTAACTATAGATTTCACTTTAGAATGTTCTATAATTTGGTCACCACCTAAACACGAATTAGACCAAACAAGATAGTTGTAACTCACAAAGATCAGTGTATGCATAGTACACAGAAAATGTATAATTATGTACACAGTAACAAATAAGAGGGAGCAAAGGGGGAGCTAGTAAAGTATTTTTTTTTTTTTTTTTTTGAGTCACCCTTCCTAGGTAGGAGACGACCGATATGTTGAAAAAAAAAAAAGTAATAAAAAAACTTCCACATCTGCAATGTCATCTTGTCAAATGTTTTAAAAGAGTAAACAAATAGGTTTGATACAAGGTGGATAAAAACCTCTATAATTAACAAATGGAAGCTCTATCCTGTATACAGCATTATTTTGAATACAGTATTTCAGTACATATACAGTATTTCTTTATCATAAAAACTTTTATGTAAACACTAAAGATAAAAAATAAAATATCATGGGCAAAAACAAAATCCATCAAGGGAACACTGGACAACTACCTGCTGTACATGCCTGATCAGCCAGGTTGTGGTGGCTATGTAGGCCAGTAGTAGCAACAACCTGGTTGACCAGGTAGTCAAGAACAAAGTCTGGCCTCAAGCCAGGTTGCAGGGGTAGAAGACTCCTAAGAACCAGTCACAGGTAGGGAGATGGTAGAGAAACATTGGAAACACCATGGAGAACACCACAATAAGCTACTCCACAAACTCAAGAACAAACAATGTAGGCTTTCTACATATTATACTATAAGGTCACTGGAAGAACACATACAGAACAAATTGTAGCCCTGGGAACATCATACAGTAGTTAAAAATCAGACACTGTCAACAAACAGTTGTTATGACTGAAAAGTGATGGGAAGCAAGTTGCAATGAATAAATTAATATGAGCTCAGTACATATTTACAAAAAGTACAGTAACATTAATTTGCAAAAACAAAGAATCAGATGACAGAGATCCTTCAAAACATAGCAGCACCAATATAATAATAATAATAATAATAATAATAATAATAATGAAAATAATAATAATAATAATAATGAAAATAATAATAATAATAATAATAATAATAATAATAATAATAATAATAATAATAATAATAATAATAATAATAATAACAACAACAACAACAACAATATTGAAGCAACAAAAAACCAGAGTATTTAGTAGCAAAATACTGCATTGTATTTAAAAACATTTTTCTAAAAAGCACTTAACACTAACATCTTGCAGAGTGTACAACCAGCTCATTCCTCATAATTAATCCCACATGCATATAGAACTTATAGTATACAGAAAAAAGACATGTTTAACTTAACAATTTTTTTAAATGTTCTATTTCTAACATTTTAACAGAATGGAAACCCTCAAGGGTAAAAAACAGCTAAATTTTTCAGCAGTTTTGACTGATCAGAGTCTGAATTTGAAAATGGTGTGTTGACAGTCCAAGATGTTTACTTCAGAACTACAATTCTTGTACTCAATAGTATTTTTAATTTCTCTCTCGGAATATTTTGTCACACGCCTAATTCTAAAAACCGCTAATTTCATTCCAGATGGTGTACAGCAATGATCATTCTGGATATGATGAAAATCATGTAAAGACAAAATAAACATTTTTCTTGTTAAACTAAAGAGTAGCATACATATCTCATTAATTAAAAACACCAATGACATACCTAATTCCCTTATTAAATAAAACTAAAAAATATCACTACTCCTTTCAAAACAGACTGGTGTAACAGTTAGCTAGTATCAAGTATAAAAGGACTTAGGATTAATAAAAGAGTCAGGTGTAAAAACAAGTGTCATAATCTAGTTAGAGAGCCCTGATCATCACCTACCTCGTAAACACATTTACCTGTTTGTGATTTTATAAATATTCTCTATGAATTACCAGAACTGTTGGTTAAATTTTATTACTATTATAAATTTGGTTAAATTTTATTACTATTATTACTATTATAAATATAAATAAGCAGTTTTTTTTTTTTTTAATTTTTAAGCTGGTAATATCTCACCCGACACTTTTGTCAGGCTATCACTAGCAGCACAAAGCTCCTGCATCTCGAGACATTTCACAGAAAGTTTAAAATTGCAGTCTAAGAAGCAGAAGCAATAGCAGTCTTGCCCAGCCCTCACTGGTAGGGAGGGAAGTAAGGTGGGAAGAAAAGTGAGCGCCTCACCTGAAGGTGCTTGCTCAGGGCCTGGATTTCCAAAGAGTGCAGGTGGAGCTGTGAGAAACACTGCTGAAGTCCCATCATCAGCTGCTGGTTTAGCTGTCCAACCGTTTCACTTCCACCTGCTGAGAAAAAGAGAATACATAGTAATATCCTATGCCACATTTAATTTTTCCCAAAATAACAGTGAGACTGATTTATCAGTATGCACTCCAACCCACTTCCATTAATTCTTGGCCAAGAATGGGCATTTTTCACTATCTCACCTTGTGCAGCGATGTCAAAATTGGGCAACAAGTGATAATTTTTTATGCCCTCATAGCACACATTTAACTATTGTTCTCTGTGATTTAACCCCGTAACTGTCCAAACGTAGATCTACGTTTACTTGCCAATGCTCCGAATATTTTGAAAAATAAAAAATAATTTTTTTTTTCAAATGAAGAGGACATTTTTTTACATAAAGTTTTTTTTTATTTTTTTCAACAAGTCGGCCGTCTCCCACCGAGACAGGGTGACCCAAAAAAGAAAGAAAATCCCCAAAAAGAAAATACTTACATCATCATTCAACACTTTCACCACACTCACACATTATCACTGCTTTTGCAGAGGTGCTCAGAATACAACATTTTAGAAGCATATACGTATAAAGATACACAACATATCCCTCCAAACTGCCAATATCCCAAACCCCTCCTTTAAAGTGCAGGCATTGTACTTCCCATTTCCAGGACTCAAGTCCGACTATATGAAAACAACCGGTTTCCTGAATCCCTTCACTAAATATTACCCTGCTCACACTCCAATAAATCGTCAGGTCCCAAGTATCATTCGTCTCCATTCACTCCTATCTAACACGATCATGCACGCTTGCTGGAAGTCCAAGCCCTTTGCCCACAAAACCTCCTTTACCCCCTCTTTCCAACGATTTCAAGGACCCCTACCCCTCCTTCCTTCCCCTATAGATTTATATCCTTTCCATGTCATTCTACTTTGATCCATTCTCTCTAAATGACCAAACCACCTCAACAACCCCTCTTCTGCCCTTTGACTAATGCTTTTATTAACTCCACACCTTCTCCTAATTTCCACACTCCGAATTTTCTGCATAATATTTACACCACACATTGCCCTTAGACAGGACATCTCCACTGCCTCCAACCGTCTCCTCGCTGCTGCATTTACCACCCAAGCTTCACATCCATATACGAGTGTTGGTACTACTATACTTTCATACATTTCCTTCTTTGCCTCCATAGATAACGTTTTTTGACTCCACATACACCTCAACGCACCACTCACCTTTTTTCCCTCAACAATTCTATGATTAACCTCATCCTTCATAAACCCATCCGCCGACACGTCAACTCCCAAGTATCTGAAAACATTCACTTCTTCCATACTCCTCCTCCCCAATTTGATATCCAATTTTTCTTTATCTAAATCATTTGATACCCTCATCACCTTACTCTTTTCTATGTTCACTTTCAACTTTCTACCTTTACACACGTTCTGAAACTCATCCACTAACCTTTGCAATTTTTCTTTAGAATCTCCCATAAGCACAGTATCATCAGCAAAAAGTAACTGTCAGTTCCCATTTTTAATTTGATTCCCCATAATTTAATCCCACCCCTCTCCCGAACACCCTAGCATTTACTTCTTTTACAACCCCATTTATAAATATATTAAACCATGGTGACATTACACATCCCTGTCTAAGACCTACTTTTACCGGGAAGTATTCTCCCTCTCTTCTACATACCCTAACCTGAGCCTCACTATCCTCATAAAAACTCTTTACAGCATTTAGTAACTTACCACCTATTCCATATACTTGCAACATCTGCCACATTGCTCCTCTATCCACTCTATCATATGCCTTTTCTAAATCCATAAATGCAATAAAAACTTCCCTACCTTTATCTAAATACTGTTCACATATATGCTTCAATGTAAACACTTGATCTACACATCCCCTACCCACTCTGAAGCCTCCCTGCTCATCCGCAATCCTACATTCTGTCTTGCCTCTAATTCTTTCAATTATAACCCAACCGTATACTTTTCCTGGTATACTCAGTAAACTTATTCCTCTGTAATTTTTACAATCTCTTTTGTCCCCTTTCCCTTTATATAAAGGGACTATACATGCTCTCTGCCAATCCCTAGGTACCTTCCCCTCTTTCATACATTTATTAAACAAAAGTACCAACCACTCCAACACTATATCCCCCCCAGCTTTTAACATTTCTGTCATGATCCCATCAGTTCCAGCTGCTTTACCCCCTTTCATTCTACGTAATGCCTCACGTACCTCCACCACACTTACATTCTGCTCTTCTTCACTCCTAAAAGATGGTATACCTCCCTGGCCAGTGCATGAAATTACCGCCTCCCTTTCTTCCTCAACATTTAAAAGTTCCTCAAAATATTCTCGCCATCTACCTAATACCTCCCTCTCCCCATCTACTAACTCCCCTACTCTGTTTTTAACTGACAAATCCATACTTTCCCTAGGCTTTCTTAACTTGTTTAACTCACTCCAAAATTTTTTCTTATTTTCATTAAAATTTCTTGACAGTGCCTCTCCCACTCTTTCATCTGCTCTCCTTTTGCACTCTCTCACCACTCTCTTCACGTTTCTTTTACTCTCCATATACTCTGCTCTTCTTATAACACTTCTGCTTTGTGAAAACCTCTCGTAAGCTACCTTTTTCTTTTTTATCACACCCTTTACTTCATCATTCCACCAATCACTCCTCTTTCCTCCTGCCCCCACCCTCCTATAACCACAAACTTCTGCCCCACATTCTAATACTGCATTTTTAAAACTATTCCAACCCTCTTCAACCTCCCCCCCCCCCCACTACTCATCTTTGCACTAGCCCACCTTTCTGCCAATAGTCGCTTATATCTCACAATGTAAAAATAAAAAAAAATAAAAAATCTAGATTCAGTACTTAAAGAGATATAAGGCAGCAAAGTCAGCACTTGTCACTCATCTGACAGCAACATGAAGCGCTGCCACTTGCAGATGTGTTGCCAACATACCTTTTTATCTCATATTTTTTTTAATTTGCATAATTTTTATGTTCTGATAATGACAATTTGTAGTAGTTCTTGTGATTTCATAGTTAATCTTTATTCTGACACTAATATTAGGTACTGAGATAGTGCTCAAATAGTCACAAACACAGTGACAGGTCAACATTTTCACCTATCTTAGTCGCATACTGTTGTCTAGAAATATATAACACTAATATTAGGTACTGAAATAGTGCTCAAATAGTCACACAGTGACAGGTCAACATTTTCACCTATCTTAGTCGCATACTGTTGTCTAGAAATATATACATAGTATTTATAGGTCCAAGCAATGTTTTGGATACATGGGAGTATATAATAATAATAATAATAATAATAATAATAATAATAATAATAATAATAATAATTTCCCTTGAAGCCTGATATAAGAGAGTGTCACTTGTCTTATCTCTTCAATCCACTGCTGACAATGATGAGTGTCATCTTATCTAATGTTATCTCTCCACTAATGACAGTGGTGACATTTGATGAGCATCGTCTTATCTTATCTCTCTGCTAATGACAGTGGTGACATTTGATGAGCCTTCGCTTTATTTGTTTTCACTCATACACATAAACATGTCTGTTTGTCTATCTGTCTGCCTGTCTATCTATCTGTCCATCTATCAGTCTGTCTACCTATCTGTCTCAAAGAGTTGCTCATGAACGATCTGGTATTACACACGATCACTATCTACAAGCACTGTCTGGATTTTTTGGGTTATCCTAGGTAATTTACACTACGTATAATTGTATTTACGTATGTGTTCCTGTGAGATAGAGACAGAGATACAGAGATAGATACAGACAGACAGACGGAGATAAAGACAGCCAATCAACCAGCCAGCCTGCTGAAATTACAATTCCAGACTTGTTTCTTTTTACTTGGGGCATAGGTTATAGGACATTCTGGCAAGATGACACTTTTGTCTTAAAAGGGGTGTCAATACAACATGACAACAGTGAATCCTTGGTGTTTGCCTCGCTGTTTGCTCTAGCTGGCACTCAATTGAACTGGTGCTCCCACAAGGTACTAAATGGTCCCAGATTTTTTTAATGCAGCACACACCAAGGGTTAAGACCCATTCTATTCTGACTAGGCATCTTAGGCCAATCGTGCCAAATTTGGAGGCAGGAAAAATAAAATGTAGATCTACGTTTGGAGTGCTAGCAGTAAGAACATACATCTACGTTTGGACAGTTAAGGGGTTAAAAAAAATTGACATCTGCCAGCTACCAACTTAAGTGTGATTTCTCAAAATATTTTACATTCTTTTACTGAGTGAGTGCACTCACTGACTTGGAAATAGCAACTTCTTGCCTTGTAACTACATATGTATTTTAAGAAAGGTTAACTTACTGTTTCAATGCCATAATTCATTTCCAGCAGCCAAATGACCATTAACCCTTTGGCTGTTTTGGTCATATATATACGTCTTACGAGGTACCGTGTTTGACGTACATATACTCATAAATTTTAGCGGCTTCAAATTAACCAGGAGAAAGCTGGTAGGCCCACATGTGAGAGAATAGGTTTGTGTGGTCAGTGTGCACCATATAAAAAAAAATCCTGGAGCATGCAGTGCATAATGAGAAAAAAAAACTGAACGTTTTTTTAATTAAAATGCTGACTTTGTGGTCTGTTTTCGTATAGTATTTATGGTTCTACTCTCGTTTTGTTGGTTTCATTTGATAGAATGGAAAACATATTATAGAAATAGAGGTGAGTTTGACTGGTTTTACTATAAAAAGAACCTAGAAATGGAGCTCAAAGAAGGGGAAATGTTTGATTTTTGCCGATGTTCAAAAGTAAACAAATGATGTCAGTGTCCAATAAATGTCCAACTAGCCATTCTAATATGCAGTCATGAATGGGTTGACATTATTTGTACAATTATTACAATATTTCAGTAGTCTGCATAACAGTAAATCTATTTTTTTTTTTTTGAATAAAAATTCAAAATAGAGAGCAAGAGTAATATCAGAGGGGCCTGGAGACATGACTGATGAACAAAGAAAATGTTATTTTAGAGCCAGGAATGTCTGCATTGTTCATTCTGGACCTTATTTTGAAATTGTCATATTTTTTAATTTTTGTGAAATTGGCCAAATTGCAAATTTCTGACCATGTTATTGGGAAGTTGAAATCGGTAAATGGGCAGTTTCTTGTACTCAGTCAATAGAAAAAAATGGAGTTCTAAAGAAATAGCTATGAGTTTGGTCGACTGGAACAATGAAATTAGCCGAAAATGGGGCTCAAAGTGGGCGAAATCGCCGATTTGTAAATATCACCGAGGTCGCTAACTTTGCGAGAGCGTAATTCCATCAGTTTTCCATCAAATATCGATTTTTTGGTGTTATTAAAATTGGGAAAAGATTCTCTATCATTTCATAAGAAAAAAATTTTTTTTTTTTTTTTTTAATTTTGCGACAACAGGAGACACCTCAGGATTGAGGGTTGTGACAGTCAAGGGGTTAACAAGAACTCTGATATCAACTACAGTGGTCCCCCGACCTACGATATTAATCCGTTCCTGAGAGCCCATCGTAAGACGAAATGATCGTAGGTCGAATTAATTTTCCCTCAAATTAATCCGTGCAAGACACCCAAAAGTACGAAAAAAAATTTTTTTACCACATGAAATATACATTTTCTACTCTACTCTACTAAATGAAGAATATGTCACTTACCTTTATTGAAGATGCAGCAATGACTGATGAGATACTGTGTCCTGGGAGTGCCTTTTCCTCCTGAGTAATATAGGTCCTGGTTGGCATTTTCTTCCATAACAGGCCTTATCACACTGTTTATGCCACTACGATTCTTAAATCTCTCAAACCAACCTTTGCTGGCCTTAAATTCACCAATATGAGCACTAGTTCCAGGCATTTTTTCCTGTTCACCTGGGTGTTACTCGACTGGTGTGGGTCGCATCCTGGGAGACGAGATTAAGGACCCCAATGGAAATAAGCTAGCTAGACAGTCCTCGATGACACAGTGACTTTTTTGGGTTATCCTGGGTGGCTAACCCTCTGGGGTTAATTGTTTCTTGGTATTCTCGACAAGTCACACCAACAACGGTGCAACAGCAGCAGCAGACGGTGCTACAGCAGCTGATGGTGCTACAGCAGCAGCTGATGGTGCTACAGCAGCAGCTGACAGTGCTACAGCAGCAGCTGACAGTGCTACAGCAGAAGCAGCAGCAGCTGACAGTGCTGCAGCAGCAGCTGACAGTGCTACAGCAGCAGCAGCAGATGGTGCTACAGCAGCAGCAGCAGCTGACAGTGCTACAGCAGCAGCAGCAGCTGACAGTGCTACAGCAGCAGCAGCTGACAGTGCTACAGCAGCAGCAGCTAACGGTGCTACAGCAGCAGCAGCTGACGGTGCTACAGCAGCAGCAGCAGCTGATGGCGCTACAGCAGCAGCAGCTGATGGCGCTACAGCAGCAGCAGCTGATGGTGCTACAGCAGCAGCAGCTGACGGTGCTACAGCAGCAGCAGCTGACGGTGCTACAGCAGCAGCAGCTGACGGTGCTACAGCAGCAGCAGCTGACGGTGTTACAGCAGCAGCAGCAACTGACAGTGCTACAGCAGCAGCAGCTGACGGTGCTACAGCAGCAGCAGCTGACGGTGCTACAGCAGCAGCAGCAGCTGACCGTGGTATGATAGTATTTCGATAATATTTCTCACCCTTTTACCACAGGGTTGGCACTAGCTTTCTTTGGGATCATGGTGGCTTATTTAGCAGTTAGAAGCACTAAAAACACTGGAATAATACAAATTATTCCGAATGTATGCTTGGGAGCAACCTCTCTGGCTTGTAAACATTGGCACACTAACTGAAGGCAGGCCAGCTGAGGCGCGCTCAGGCGGACAGACATGTGGACGCGTAGCGGATGAATGCTGTAGGTCGAGTTTTTCAACGTACGTCTGGGTCAAATTTTTACGCTGAAAAGCATCGTAGGTCGGTTTTAACATAGGTAGGGGACATTGTATGTCGGGGGTCCACTGTACAACTAACCGTTACAAGATCCATGACACTGACTGTTTACAACTGTCTCCATCTTCTCAAACACAGACTATAAAGCCTTAAATGACAAAGAACAATGAACTAAAAAAAATTATAACAGGATGAAGGTAAATAAGAACTCACACTTGGAACAGATTTTCCCATGGTAGCAGAGCCCAACAGCTAAAGACAAATAGCACCAAAAAAAGAAAAATGCAGGTAAATTTCTTGGCTTATGACTGGGTAATACATTAAGGTTTGATACTCTTCTTTGACACTCTTATCCAGCACAAAGTATAAAAAAAAAATGAGTAGGCTTTCAAACACCTTCTGCTAAATAACCAATTTTATTCTACTTACACTATACTATGCACTCATTTATTCATATACCATCAGTGCATGGGATAGCAAAACAGCAATACTATTGTCAACCAACAGTTACACAAAAATTTGCGATCAAACCCGTATTAAACTCCAGTCTAAGAAAAACACATTACCCCTACTGCAACCCCTCTGAACTTACTAAACATATATCACTTTTCACACCTAGATTCTACCTAACAGCTGTAACCAAAACTGAGCACTATACAAAAGATAAATATTATACCTCTAAAGATAAAGTAAAAATTTATTTGCACTTGCATGACACATTTGAAGATTATTTTGAAAATGATTACATTATGAATAAAGTGCCAATTCAAAACTCAAGTACGTATACACAGCATTTTGGGCAGAATTAAGGTAATACAGAAAGATGATGAGGTTGAATCTAAAGACACAAGATATTATGTTAATAAAGGTACACAAAAAATGAAACACCCAACCAGAAGATGCTAAAAGTGGCTCAATATTCCACAAGCTTAAATGAATATAGAGACACCTACCTGAGCTCCATGTGACTCCCAGTCTTCCTATATATTTATATACTGTACAACAGTAAAATATAGCTAAAGCTGCAGTAGGTATTGCATAAATATGCTCTAAGCTATTCAAAATTTCCTGCAGAATAAAGTAAAACAAATAAGGACTGGAAATGTATATCTGTCAACAACTTTAAGGATCGTTGTCCATGGAGCTTAGTCTTAGACCAGGCCTCCTTAACAGTAGAGGAAATACTGCAGGAATATGTAAAAAAAAAGTGTATACTGAAAGTAAGGAGGAATTTGCAAGATTTACCTCCAATCTTGAGTGTTCATGAGATGAAGAAAATTTTTAACATACAGTGGACCCTTGGTTTTCAAATTTAGTTCATTCCAGATGTCAATTTGGCAACCAAAGCAATTTTTCCCATAAAGAATAATGCAAATAGAATTAATCCATTTCAGACCCCCAAATGATGAAATAATATATTAATAATGTACTAACTGCTACATAAAATAATTAATAAAATTATACTGCACAGGGAAACTGTAAAAATGAAGACTAAATGAAAATTTAACTGAAATACTGTACAGTAAATGAAAATTTAACTGCCCCTTACATGTCAGAGGAGAGCTAATGGCATACTGGAAGCAGGAGGTAGAGAAGAAGAGGGGGGATGTTACTACTTGGAAGAGAGTCATCTTCTACTAATATGTCAGGAAACTGTCCTTCTGGCATTGTTTTTCTTCTTTGTCTCTTTCACCACTAACACCTTGTTCTGGCTCACTGGATCTTTGTCTCAATAAAAACCTGACCAGTGAGGTTTGTTTCAGGCTCCATTTTAAAACTTGTTTAAATTGAGACATTATGCTGTTATTGTACATGTTAGAGAAATGGATGGCCACTGCTTTGTCTGGATATTTTTCAGCAAGGACATTTCCTTGACAAGTGCAATGGGCACATCATCCCTTCATTCCTCTTCCTCTGATGACAGCTCCACTGCAATTTGTTGCTGCTCCTTATAAAGGTCTAGAAATACTTCTGTGGTGAGTTGTTCTGTGCTCCCCCACCAACTCCTCCACATCATCTTCAGTCACCTCTAGGCCCAAGGTCTTCCCCAGGGACACAATATCCTCTACTGGCTCAGGCTCATTTTCAAAGCCTTCAAAATCCCACTTTGTTCTGTACATATGAAAAGTTGTCTGTTGACAATCAAGAAAGCGTATGAAAACCAGGACATTTTTTCTTGAACACCTCATTCGAAAACCAATTTATTTGACAAGTAATGAAATCGACAACCGAGGTTCGACTGTACTTCCATTCTACACTTGTGTGACAGAACATTAATACTTCCCCAGATTGTAGCTATCAGTGCACTACCTCTGGTTGGTAAACAACTTCATTTCAATCATTAGATTATTCCTCTACAACTTAACGACTCCCTACACAATAAAATTACAACTCTTACCTTGACTACCCAATGCCAATGACCCCAGTCCAGCATATGGAGACATAGGAGTGAGGGCCTGAACTCCACTTGTAGTGACTCCTATCCCTGGAACATGTGACAAGGACGAAGGTGTCACACCAGCAGAGGGAATGTCAGGTAGGTACTGTGGCAAAAACTGGCTGTAAGGGCTAGGAAGGGTACCTAATACTTGATTCTGCTCTTGGCGCAGACTCTCCTGCAGGTTGTTGATTGTTCCTTGCACTTGGCTCAACTGTAAAGATATTATATAGTTGAATAAATATACATGTGCAATTAAGAGTTTGTACAAATGATTTCTGAATTTTGACTGCATCAAAATTATGCAGATTTGTCTCCTGAATATTTGTTTTTCAACATGCTGGCCATCTCCAACAGAGGCAGGGTGACCCAAAAAAGGAGGAAAAATTCACCATCATTAAACACTTTCACCATCATTCACACATAATCACTGTCTTTGCAGAGGCATGCAGATATGACAGTTCAGATGTCACTCCAAACAGCCAATATCCCAAACCCCTCCCTTAAGGTGCAGGCATTGTGCTTCCCACCTCCAGGACTCAAGTCTGCTAACTGGTTTCTCTGAATTGCATCACAAAATATTACCCTGTTCACACTCCTACAGTTCTCGTCAAGTCCCAAAAACCATTCATCTCCATTCACTCCTATCTAACATGCTCACACATGCCTGCTGAATGTCCAAGCCCTTGCACACAAACATAAAAACAAACATTACCAGAATATACAGCAACACTTACTACTGTGAATACTATATGAACATAAGAACATAAGAATGTAGGAACACTGCAGAAGGCCTACTGGCCCATACGAGGCAGGTCCTTATCAAAACGACATCTACCTAAAGCTACTCAAGAAATAACTCCCGTACCCCTTGACACCAATCAAACCCAGCCCCTCCCACTCATATATTTGTCCAGTCTCTTCTTAAAGCTACCCAAGGTCCTAACCTCTATCAGCCCACTGGGAAGACTGTTCTACGCATCTACAACTCTGTTAGAAAACCAGTACTTACCTATGTCCTTTCTAAATCTAAATTTATCCAACTTAAATCCATTATTCCTGGTTCTTACCTGGTTCCACACCCTCAGTACTTTATTAATGCCAGTGGCTTGCTACAGCTTATGAGACCATTCCTAATTTCTAGTGTAAAAACAATTTTTGCCAAAAGCCAGCAATTTTAATACAGTAGTCCGTCATTTAGCACGAGTTTATTTGGCATGATTTGGGTATAGTATGATTGAAGAATTGTGGCACAATTTTATGTAACATGTTGTAAGATGAACTGAACACGGTTTAGTTTGTGGGAAGAAAAAACTTCCTTTTTCCTCAAGCGGCTGCCTTGTTATGGATAAGCGGGGAAGACCTCCCCCCGTCCCCAGCATCCCCCCCCAACACCACCCCACCATACCAGCATTTATACTTCATACATCTCCAGTCCAACTTCTCTGATACAAGCTTGTGATTGTGAATTGTGTTTTGATCTTTTAATCGCTATATCTTGTATCTACCAAGCAATCATGACACCCAGTAGGCATACCAGTGTTGCTCAAAGTGGCAAGAAAAGGTGTAAGCATTTAAGTTTTAGAATTAACGAAGGAAACAAAGATACTAGACAAGACATCCTGTGGACATAATGAAGTGTTACTTTGTACACATAAAAAGAGGTAAACATAAGTTTGTGTGAATGACTGACTGACTGACTTACTGAATGACTGACTTACTGAATGATTTGACTAACTGAATGACTTGACTGACTTACTGAACAACTTGACTGACTTACTGAACAACTTGACTGACTTACGTTCTGAACAACTTGACTGACTTAATGAATGGCTTGACTGAATTACTGAATGACTTGACTGACTTACTGAACAACCTGACTGACTTACTGAGTGACTTGATTTACTGAATGACTTGAGACTTACTGAATGCCTTGACCCTTACTGAATGCCTTGACTGACTGAACGACTTGACTGATTTACTGAATGACTTGACTGACTTACTGAATCACTTGACTGACTTACTGAATCACTGACTTACTGAACTTGACTGACTTACCGAATGACTTGAGACTTACTGAACAATTTGACCTACCAAACTACTTGACTTACTGAGCTTGACTGACTTACTGAACGACTTGACTGACTTGCTGAATGACTTGACTAACTTACTGAATGACTTGACTGACTTACTGAATGAATTGACTGACTGAACTACTTGAGACTTACTGAATGACTTGACTGACTTACTGAATGACTTGACTTACTGAAGGACTTGACTGACTCACTGAATGACTTGACTGACTTACTAAATCACTTGATTGACTTACTGAACGACCTGATTTACTGAATCACTTGATTGACTTATTGAATGGCTTGACTGACTTACTGAACGACTTGACTGACTTACTGAACGACCTGACTTACTGAATCACTTGATTGACTTATTGAATGGCTTGACTGACTTACTGAACGACTTGACTGACTTACTGAACGACCTGACTTACTGAATCACTTGATTGACTTACTGAATGGCTTGACTGACTTACTGAATGACTTGACTGACTTACTGAATCACTTGATTGACTTACTGAATGACCTGACTGACTTACTGAATGACTTGACTGATGTACTGAACAACTTGACTGACTTACTAAATCACTCGACTGACTTACTGAATCACTTGAGACTTACTGAATGACTTGACTGACTGAATGAGTTTAAAGTTAGACACTTCAGTACCAGAACCTCTACCATCCATCTCAGCCCAGTAGGGCCACAGCATAACTCTCCACTCTCTTCACAATCATCCACAAACACCAGCACCCACAATTTAAGGTAAGAAATACTTTTATTTCTGTTACATCCGTAGTCTTAAGCAGTAAAAACAACATAATACATCACAACAATGAACTACAATTACATATTCACTTTTATTTTTGGAAGATGTAGAGCCTTAAAAAAAGTTGTTTGCGTTTTTTGGGGCTCTCAGGAACGTAACCCTATTTTTCCCATTAGTTCTTCAGTTCATCTCACACGGTTTTATTTAACCCTTTCAGGGTCGACAGGCCCTCTCCCAAGCTTGTGCTCATGGTCGAAAAATATTTGAAGAAAAAAAAAAATTTCTTCTTATGAAATAATAGCTTTTTTTTGAGAGTATTATAAGCCAAAAGAAATTTTTTTGCAATCAATACTTGCAGAGGTATGGAGGCGTGAAGTTGACAGAAATTGAACCGCATATGGCAACATTGCCGACTGCCGGTCACCTGGTAATACAGTGGACCCCCGGTTAACGATATTTTTTCACTCCAGAAGTGTATTCAGGTGCCAGTACTGACCGAATTTGTTCCCATAAGAAATATTGTGAAGTAGATTAGTCCATTTCAGACCCCCAAACATACACGTACAAACGCACTTACATAAATACACTTACATAATTGGTCGCATTCGGAGGTGATCGTTATGCGGGGGTCCACTGTAGTTCATTTTGTTTTTTTTTCTTTTTCTTTTATTTTTTAATATTTTATTTTTTCAAGTAAGTTTTATGGCCTCTGAGACCAATATAAAGACTATTTGGTATATATTCACTCATTGCATACTACACAATAACAGCACAAACTTTGTTGTCATTATATTGTTTACAAAACATGTTTACACAAACCAACAATATAAAATGTTGTTTATTATTATTTTTCTATCATATATACAGTATACACATATATGTAGAGTCACTGGACAGGTTCCTATAACTACAAGAGATTCTGAAAGTTTGTAGTTGTGTGGGGTGGACTTGTAAGTATGCTGAGTCACTGGTGTGTCTTGTGTCACAATGATGCATCATACCACCACTCGTTAATCTCACTGCCTTCCACAACACATCCCTTCCTCTCCACAAACCCACCTTCCTTCTTTCCTTCCATCCTCTCATCTCTTTCTACCTACCTTTCCTGCTTCCTTCCTCTCATCTCTTCCTACCTACCTACCTTCCCTCCTTCCTTCTTCCTTCGTTTTTTTCTTCATTCAAGTAATTTTATGGCCTGTGAGACCAATATAAGGTATACTGAATGGATATTCACTCATATGCTACACAATAAATGCACAGTCATTATATTTTGGGAGATGTTAAGTGAATGTATAGGAGCCTTTGAACCAAGTGAGAGAGTAATTGTGGTAAGGGACCTGAATGCTAAAGTAGGAGAAACTTTTAGAGAGGGTGTGGTAGGTAAGTTTGGAGTGCCAGGTGTAAATGATAATGGGAGCCCTTTGATTGAACTTTGTATAGAAAGGGGTTTAGTTATAGGTAATACATATTTTAAGAAAAAGAGGATAAATAAGTATACAAGATATGATGTAGGGTGAAATGACAGTAGTTTGTTGGATTATGTATTGGTAGATAAAAGACTGTTGAGTAGACTTCAGGATGTACATGTTTATAGAGGGGCCACAGATATATCAGATCACTTTCTAGTTGTAGCTACACTGAGAGTAAAAGGTAGATGGGATACAAGGAGAATAGAAGCATCAGGGAAGAGAGAGGTGAAGGTTTATAAACTAAAAGAGGAGGCAGTTAGGGTAAGATATAAACAGCTATTGGAGGATAGATGGGCTAATGAGAGCATAGGCAATGGGGTCGAAGAGGTATGGGATAGGATTAAAAATGTAGTGTTAGAGTGTTCAGCAGAAGTTTGTGGTTACAGGAAAGTGGGTGCAGGAGGGAAGAGGAGCGATTGGTGGAATGATGATGTAAAGAGAGTAGTAAGGGAGAAAAAGTTAGCATATGAGAAGTTTTTACAAAGTAGAAGTGATGCAAGGAGGGAAGAGTATATGGAGAAAAAGAGAGAGGTTAAGAGAGTGGTGAAGCAATGTAAAAAGAGAGCAAATGAGAGAGTGGGTGAGATGTTATCAACAAATTTTGTTGAAAATAAGAAAAAGTTTTGGAGTGAGATTAACAAGTTAAGAAAGCCTAGAGAACAAATGGATTTGTCAGTTAAAAATAGGAGAGGAGAGTTATTAAATGGAGAGTTAGAGGTATTGGGAAGATGGAGGGAATATTTTGAGGAATTGTTAAATGTTGATGAAGATAGGGAAGCTGTGATTTCGTGTATAGGGCAAGGAGGAATAACATCTTGTAGGAGTGAGGAAGAGCCAGTTGTGAGTGTGGGGGAAGTTCGTGAGGCAGTAGGTAAAATGAAAGGGGGTAAGGCAGCCGGGATTG